GGCGGGAGAGGCGCGGCCGAGCCTCCCGCCCTCTCCGTTCCCGCGCCCGGGCCAGGAAGGGGCGCGAGGCAGCCGGGTGTCCTCGGGGTGCCAGGCTCGTTAGTCCGCTGGCCTTTCACTCATTTATTCCAACACGTTAAGAAGGCCTACTGCGTACCAGGCCCTCTTCCATGCGCTGGGCCACAGTGGGCCAAGCCCTAGCCCCTGCGGAGCTCTTTGCGGGGTGCTGGGGGTGGGGTGGGGGCGGGAATGTACACACAGGCAGAAGGGCGCCTGGGACAGTGTAAAGGGCTTGAAGAAGCGGAGCCGGGGTGCCCGGGGTAGGGTCTTCTCTACTCTCTACGAATGGGAGAAACCTAGGCGGTGTCCAAAGATTGGGAGGAAGGAATCCATATTCATTAATTTACTCACTCGTTTATTAAATATGCATTGAGCACATCCTATGTGCCGGGTCCTGTGCTGAGCCCTGCAGACACAGACAAGGTCCCCACTGTCATGGAGATGTCATGCTAGTGGTGAAGACAGGAATAGCAAACAATTAAGATCACATAATATAGTGATCAAAGCCAGAAAGAAAAAACCAGAGAGAGTGATGGGGTGACATTGTTTGGGGGGGGGGGCTAAGGAAGAATGGGGAAGACGTAAGCTCCCTCAGATGGACAAGAAGGAATTGACCATGGGACAGTGTGGGAAGAGTGTTCCTGGCAGAGGAAGTAACAGGCATTCATTCATTCATTCATTTACCTCACAAGCATTTTCTGAGCACCCCTCCTATACAGGCACCTGGGACACTCAGTGGGGAGTGAACCTGCTAGTCCATGTCCTCCCAGTGCTCCATTTTACAGACTGGAACACTGAGGCCCAGCAGGTGCAATGACTTGCCCAAGAAGACCCAATTTCAAGCCAGTTTCTTTCCAACTCTATTTTCCCTGCTCTGGTATCCCTTTAGACCTTTTGAAGTATGTGTTATTTCCTCCACTTCACACATAGGGAATTTGAGGCTCAGAGTGGAAGAGGCACTGGAGATCTCCCAGCTGGTAAGAGGCAAAGCTAGCCTGGAGCTGTGTGAATAAGAGGAGGGTATTCTGGAGAGAGCCTTCTGGCTTGGTTTCTCCACTGCCTTCTGCCTATAGTGTGTGACCCATCAAGAGGGTTCTCATTCTTCAAGATCAGCTCAGAGCCTCCACCTCTGGAAAGCCCTATTCTCCACCTCACCCTAATTTATATATCTGAAGATAAGGTTGCCTTGTATTGGAGTTACTGACTTCTCACATTGCAGGTGAGAAACCCCTCTCAGTTACTTAATTTTTAACCCCAAACTTCTGTTTGGGAAAGGCACATTAGCTTGATACACCTTCAATTCATGGGAGTTTGGAAGGCATCTAGAGGTCAGCATTACTATACAAGGAGTCGAGGGAATTTTACTCAGATAATGCAATGCAGGGCAAAGGAGACTTCGTAGCCACAAGGGTGGGAGGTTATATAAACAGGCCTTTTAAAAGTCACTTTCAGAGATCCCAGTAAGTGGCCATGTTGTGCAGATCACAAACACACCCCTGCAGCAGCTGAAGCCCCAACTGTCCTAATGTGATGGTGATGGAACCTGTGGTGGAGACAGTGTCCAGTGGTTGCCTGATACATGGATTTGAAAGGGCTGCATTTTAGGATCTAGATCCCTGTGAATAAGATGTGCTCTGGAAAAAAGCAGCACCCCCCTCCCCCATCATGATGGCAACACTAATGTCAAAGCCACACAGAAAAGAATTTGCACCAAATAGCTTCTTGAAATTTGAAAGTGCACAAAAGCAATCTTTCCAAATTAATATTTTATATTAAAATGATTTTAAATATGTATGTCTAACTAAAGTAATACATATTACAAGTATACATCTGACAATTTCATCTTTACCCCTTCAAGTTTATACTATTCAAATTTATTATGCATCTTCTCTTTGGGAGAATGGGGATTGCCCTTAACTTTTATTTGGATTGCCTTATACTGGGGCATATACGGTAGTTGCTCATCCGTCTGAGGTCCCTCTGCACTTTGTCCTCTTCCTCAATTACACCCTCAAGGCAGGTGTTGTAGCTGTTACCTTTCTGTCCTCTCCATTGCCAGATGGAAAGCTCCTGCAGGCAGGACATAGGCTGTATTCATCTATGAATCCCCAGTGCCCAGCACAGGGCAGGCATGTGCAGGTGCTCAGTACTCATTTGAATAAATAGACTGCAGAGATGCATTGCCCTGAGCTGGGTGAAAACAGGAAAGGAGGAAGAGAAGAAAGGGAAGGAGAGAGGAAGGAGAGAAGGGGGGAAGGGGAAAGGGAAGGAGAGAGAGGAAGGAAGGAGTTGTGAAGGAATGAGTTTTAGTTGATAGTACCCCTGGACCACAGTATGATCAATAGTGATATGTGCAGAGAGAAACAAATAAATACAACAGAGCAAATTAACATAAATATAGTCTTTAGCATCTGCATCCAGCCCAGCAACAACCGAGCCACTGCTGGAAGCCCCCTGGTCTCCCCTGCTCACTTGAGGGGAGGTGCCACAACCACGCCCCCCTCCTTCCTCTTCCTCCTACCCTATTCCCTCCCCCTTTCCCTCTCCCTCTCCCCCTCCCCCATCTGCTCCACAACATCTTAGAATGTAAAAAAGTAATAATATTAATAAATAAATACATTTTAAAAGAAAAGAGAAAAACCTAAGGAAATTTAAATTTTAAAAAACCCCAAAAAACAGAAATATAGTCTTTAGAACAAAGAAGGGGCTTGCTGCTCCAGTGCCTGCTGATTAGGCCATTCTAGAAGTCACTTTAGCTCTGGGCAGCACACTCGTCTAGGAAGACAAAGTGCTCCACAAAGGTGGAACAGGTGGCTTTGGGAGAGAGGGAGATGCCTTTGTCACAGCAGGCATGCGAACAGAAACCATGTGATTTCCTGGGAGGGCTGTCGTGGTGGGGCTTCCTGAATCACATATCTCTTAAGGTATACCTTCCAGTCCAAAAATCTGCTGAGCCCCCACAACCCACAGGAGAACGCGGGAGTGAAGTTTGGTTTGAAGCTCCCTAGTCTTGTTGGTCCCACATCTTGTGGCCTTGGAAGAACTGCAGAGAACGCTCCCCTGTCTTTGTTGCATGTGCACCAAGCTGATCTCCCACAGTGTGGGTCCCCCTTTTTGTTGTCTCCTCCAACTTCACCCCCTCCCACCAGCTCCCAAGCAGGGCCAGTTGGGACAGTGTCGAGCCTCTGTTTTCAAATGTTAGGGGGCCTGGGACCCAAGAACTGTGGCAGACAGTAAAAAGGGGAGGGAAAGGACTGTTAGGCCACAGATCCTAAAGAGTTCCAGGGGACCTATGGGACAGGGCGTCAGAGGTGGGCATCCTTGAGCCTGGGCAGCCTTCAGTCATGATCACTCCTGGACTTGACTTCCACACACATGTTCCCACCAACCACATTCAGGATTGCACAGACTATGCCACCCTCCTTTGGCACCAGTACCCACACTTGGGTTGCAGGCACCCCTGGGTGGGGCTGCCTGTCTTGATTATGAGTGCCGGCAGAGCCTCCCAGGGCAATAGGTATTGGGAGGGTCCTGGCCAGGTTCCCTGGCATTGCTCCCTTGGGGCATGCCCTGGCAGGCCCTGCCCCGTGCAATAGCAGGCAGTCAGGTGCACCTCATAAAATGGGCATACACTGGGGTGGGGGGAATGCCCACTGTGGACACCTGGGTGAAATAACCCTTTCCCCCAGGGTGTTCGCTTAGTCTCCACACAACTCAAGAACTGAGAACCCAGGCTGGAGTCAAACCACAAAACTTAGTTTTAATATTGATACAGGAAGGCCCTGCTTTTCAGCAAACGCTGCCTATAAAACTCTCAATTTTCAAACACAGTGGGTCTTCACCCGCAAAAATGTTATTTTTCAGTTGCTGGTTACAAAGTGCCAACCACATAGCAGACCCCAGGCTGNAACCATGTGATTTCCTGGGAGGGCTGTCGTGGTGGGGCTTCCTGAATCACATATCTCTTAAAGTATACCTTCCAGTCCAAAAATCTGCTGAGCCCCCACAACCCACAGGAGAACGCGGGAGTGAAGTTTGGTTTGAAGCTCCCTAGTCTTGTTGGTCCCACATCTTGTGGCCTTGGAAGAACTGCAGAGAACGCTCCCCTGTCTTTGTTGCATGTGCACCAAGCTGATCTCCCACAGTGTGGGTCCCCCTTTTTGTTGTCTCCTCCAACTTCACCCCCTCCCACCAGCTCCCAAGCAGGGCCAGTTGGGACAGTGTCGAGCCTCTGTTTTCAAATGTTAGGGGGCCTGGGACCCAAGAACTGTGGCAGACAGTAAAAAGGGGAGGGAAAGGACTGTTAGGCCACAGATCCTAAAGAGTTCCAGGGGACCTGTGGGACAGGGCGTCAGAGGTGGGCATCCTTGAGCCTGGGCAGCCTTCAGTCATGATCACTCCTGGACTTGACTTCCACACACATGTTCCCACCAACCACATTCAGGATTGCACAGACTATGCCACCCTCCTTTGGCACCAGTACCCACACTTGGGTTGCAGGCACCCCTGGGTGGGGCTGCCTGTCTTGATTATGAGTGCCGGCAGAGCCTCCCAGGGCAATAGGTATTGG